CTCTGTGAGTTCGAGGCCAGCCTGGTCTACAAGAGCTAGTTCCAGGACAGGCTCCAAAGCGACAGAGAAACCCTGTCTTGAAAAAAAAAAATCACACATGGAGAAAATCATAAAGATGTGATGGAGACCCCACTACTCACCTACTCCCAGAGAAAACCTGGATGCAATAGGATGATTTGAAAGGAATTAAACCTGCGAACGTAGAGTCATGCGGTGGATTGGGAAAGAACTGGAGAAGCCATCACCATGATGAAGTTGTTCCCTGAATGGACTGAGTGGTGAACTTCTGAGGAAACAATCAAAGGAGAGAAGACCATCACGGAAGAGCAAGTGCAGCTACCTCTGGAAGGTGCAGTGGCCAGGAAATTACCTAAAAACCTCAGGGCCGGAGAGGGCTCATCCTGTAAGGGTGCCACCACCACGCCTGATGAACCTAGGTGACGCCTGGAGCCCATGTGCTGGAAGGAGAGAACAGACTCTACAGAGTGTTCCATATGCATGCGGCATGTTCCTACACACACAGGCAAACAAAGATGCTCATAAGTAAAAGTACTTTTGCAGAGGACCACAGTTTGGTTCTTAGAACTGTATAAGGTGACTTATAAACATGAAACTCCAGCTCCAGGGGATTCGACACCCTTTTCTGGTGCACATGCACACGTGTGTGTGCACACGTGCACACATGCAAACATAATACTTGAGTCGCAATAACAGTCTCTAATACCGCACCTTGAAGAGTTATTACTCTTAAGTTAAATCAAGATTTTCATTGTCCCAAGATGATGTATGCTCACCCCTGGAGCATTGCTAAAGGACTTAGTAATGTCCTTCTATAGCAGGAAACAAAAAAAAACATTCAGGGTGCAAATGGCCTGAGACAAGCGAAGAAGTTTGTATGTGCGTTGGGTCCCTTACATGCCCAGATAATAAATGATAATGGTGACCACTAGAGGCTTAACCAAAAGGCAAACTAAAATAGTACACCGCTATATGGATGGTGAAGGGAAGGGTTCTAATGCCATTTTAGTTTTTTTAGATAAGGCAGAAATAGTGAAGTGTATATTAAAAACTGAGTAGGATTGCCAACTGGACAGAAGTAAATAATATCACAAAATCACCTCTCTGTGGGGTGTCGATGTTCAAAAGCCGTTAATCTGGGAGAGGACAAGCAGAAAAGGAAACGAATGGAAAGCCCAGAACAAGTCTTCGTACATGTGTGCACGTCTGTGTTCTAGAGAAAGTAAAGGCCAGATCTACCAGTGTCATTGTAAATGTGACTCTTCATGACGATACAATTGGTTTTTATTGGAGAAATGATACCCTTAAAACAATGAGATTTAGACGCCCGCTTCTGCTCTGTAAGCTTTATAATTGAATGCTATCATGGTGAGAAGGTGGCATTGGAAAGGACTCTGATTTCTTGCTTCCGGGACTAGAATGTCATTATTTGGGGATGATTGATGGGAAAGTGGCTCCTTGGAAGCGAGAACAGATGAACGTTTATCGAGTTCTTCCTAGGTCCTGACTGGGGCCTACGAAGAAAATTAAGAGTGTCAGAGAGAACAGGTGTTAGGGAAGTGTCATGCCTGGGTGCCAGGAGGAGGACGTTCAAAAGGCGATTACATGGCTAAAGAACACAGTTGCAAGATGTCGCAGGGGAGGAGCCCTGGGCCTGGGCTGTCAGAGAACAGGTAGGGAGGGTACAGGGCCTCCTGCTGAGACGCTGGGGGCTCTAAAGGAAAGGAAAGAGACTGGAGAAACAAGAGTGGAACTCTGTACCAGGAAGTTCAGAACCTGGTGCTCTAGCTTGGTTGGTAGAACACTTCCCTAGCATAGACAAAGCCCTAACTTCAATCTCCAAGACCCCATAAAACTGGACATGGTGGTACACAGGATCCTAGGACTCTGGAGGTGAGGAAGGAGACTCAGATCAGAAGTTCAAGGTCATCTTCCAGTTCAGCCTGGGTTAGAGGGTCTCTCTGAAATAAAGCTTAAAACCTGAGGGAAAGGCTGGAGAGATGGTTCATTAAAAACTAGGCTCACAATCAAAACTTCAGGAGAAACAGAAAGATAGTGAAATCTCAAAGAATTTATCTTTCAGTAAGTGACAGCTGTATTTTAAAACTAAAACCTCATTGGATGAGGCCATTGTCTCCAGGTGACCCAGGACTCAACTTTTAAAAAGTCAAAAGCTCTACTGTATACGTGTAGGAAATTCTCGTGTGTGTGTGTGTGTGTGTGTGTGTGTGTGTGTGTGTACAGAATCAAGAAAATAATGGCGAAGCTAACTCTGGTTTGAAAATACTGGGGAAGCCAGGCAAGACGGTTCGTGCCCGTGCCTGTGATCTTAGTACCTCAGAGGCCGAGGCAATACAGTCGCTAGTTCAAAGACAGCCTGGCCTGTAGGGCAAAATCCTGTCCCCACAAACTAACACAGTGAAAAACCAGAGTCTCGAGAGGCAGAGTGTGGGGTTGCTCTCTCTTGCCTGAATTCCCTGACTAATCTCTTCCTGGTCCCCTAGCCGTTTCTCATGACGGCCAGCCCTGCTCAGGCCTGTGTGCCTCGTGAGCAGACAGCCATCAAGAACTCTGTCTGGGCTTGTCAGAGCTTCCTTTTCTGATTTTTTAAAACATGTCTCCATGTCAACCACATTTTCCCGCAGTTCACTATGATTTTTTTTTTTTTTCTGTCCTGGTACTTCTCTAGGTAGACCAGGCTGGACTAAAAATCAGAGATCCACCTGCCTCTGCCTCTGCCTCTGCCTCCTGAGTGCTGGGTTTAAAGGTGTGGGCCACCACTGCTGGTGTCAGTGATGTTTCTGAATCTCCAAAGTTAAGGTCCAGACATGATCAGTCACCAGGATGATAAACGTCACCCTAATGTTGCTGGTAGCAACATTATTGCTAACCTCATGGTTATATTTTACATGTAGAATATTATATACAACTAAGAATAAACTCAGGCAAACCCCTTAGAGGCTGTACTGAATGTGTAGAATATAAGACTGGGGTATTCATGTAATTCTGTAGTCTAAGGTCTCTATAAAAAATCTTTATTTTATTTGTGTGTGTATGGGTGTTTTGGCTGTATAAATGTTAGTGCACCATATGCCTGCCTGGTGCCCATGAAAGTCAAAAGAGGGCATCAGACCCACTGGAACTGGAGTTTTAGATAGTTTGAACCACCATGTGGGTCCTAGGAACTGAACCACAGCCCTCCTCAAGAGCAACCAGTGCTCTTAACTGCCATCTCTGCAGCCCCCTCTCTATTTCTTGACCACAAGAGGAGACTCCTTAGTTAGGACTAACTGCTTGCATCTTTCCTCATATCTAACAGACTTCCATATCAAGCCAATAATTCTCTCTGTGGAGTTAGAAAAAGGTGTCTCTCCTACCTACCCACTATCCATCCAACACGGAGGCGGCATTCATTTTGCATTAATTACAGTGTGTGTAACACTCTGCTGGCCACCTGGGCTGCATGAATAGACTTAATTCTTCAAGGCTGTACAGCTTGGAAAGCTCCCAGCCCTGATCATTTGCTGAAATCCTTGTTCTTAAAAATCAAGTCTGTTTTAACCAGGGTGCTGTACATTCTTCGGAGGTTTAGAGAACACAAGGGCATCTGTCCCGAGATCCCAAAGGTAATGCTGAGGTACTCCGAGCAGCAAAAGGTCATGAGCGCCTTGTAAATAGCCCCATTGTCGAGCTTCCAAGAGGCCATACATACGGTGACATTTATTTTCCTGGTGATTTATCAGCATCTGCCTCTTAGCTGTTTAGGTTCCAAGCATAATTTAATCATGATACACATAACAGACTCATTATCAGAGCTGGGCTCACCTTCCCCAAGCTTGACAAAATTGATCTTTAAACCAAAATGCCAGTTGCCATTTATACAGAGAAATACAGCTGACTGATTCTTTCGAAGCCCAAAAAGTAGCATATTCTTTCCTGGTAGGCAAGCCTACACAGGGGGCAGACCGTAATCAGCAGGTTATTTGATGAACGTGAACTCAGAAGAAAGAAAAGATGACTCACCTGTGCTTTCTGGCACAGGCTTAGACGTAATCCATTGCACACTAAGTCCAGCCCTGCCAGACATCTTTGAAGTCTCTCAACTAAGACTCGGCCCTGATCAATACTGAGTAGGAACCAGCCAGTGTTTTAGTTCATGGCTATGCCTCGCAGTTGACAGAAACCCGCAAACCCCCGCCCATGTCATGCTTTCGTCTCTGGGTGTCAGCCCGTGTGCTAGCTTAGAATCATCTTCTTTCGGTTTACAGTTGAAATCTCAGTGAGCAATTGTCTTTTCAAATTCTTGAGTGATCCTTCACTGCCCTTCCAAACTATAGGAAAACATCGTGCTGATAAATGCGTAGAGTGTCACCGCCCTGAGGCACTACCAATCACTTGCACCCACCACCCACCCTTCACCTTCTTGTCAGAGCATGTGTAGTCTTCTTAAATTCTTTAAATTTTTGAACTTTATTTTCAAAAAGGTTTACCGCAGCCATGAATGGAAAATAAGCTACTCTCCTTTGATACAAAAGGAGGATGGCCTTAGAAATAAACACATCGAAGCCAGAAGTTCCTGCGTTCTGCTGCTTTGTTACTGTTTCTCATATGCTTATTTAGCCGAATACTGTTCGTCATGGGAAACCGGGTCTGTGTGGGACTTTGTTAAGATAGAAGAACACCAAACTAGGCTTCTCTTGGATCCATTGCAATAAATAACGTCTGGAGTGACTGAACCATGAGTTAATGTAGGAGACCATTTAATGTTGTTCACTAAAAATACATCAGGCCTCCCTCCTACATTTGGGGAGACGATGCTTCTACCTAGCCTTTTTGTTTGTTTGTTTGTTTGTTTGTTTTAGTTTTAAAGATGGGGGAAATGTATGGCCATAGTGATGTTTCCTTCCCAGCCTTCCTGGGCCTTGTGTCTGTCTGTCCATGCTGTTCTGACTGTCTTCTTCCTGCTTCTCCCCACCCCACAGGTACACACTGGCAGCTCAGGACCTGGTGATGCGTGCCCGAGGCATCCTGAAGGACAGAGGATGGCGGATATCAAATGACCGACTGGGCTCAGGAGACGACATTTCTGTATACGTCATTCCTTTAATACATGGAAACAAACTGTCATGAAAGGGACCCAGGGGACTGGGAGGGCAGACAGAAAGAAAACTGGGATGCCTCTAAGCAGGGCGGAACTGGGGAGTGCCTGGGCTGGATTCCAGGTGATGCAATTTCTTCCCAGCCCAGATGGGGAATTTGCTGCCAGAAGGCCTGTGGCTTTGCTTTCAAGGTGACCCTTAGGTTTCCATTCTTCTTTAGTACCAGGTCTGGACACTGAACAAGAGCAAAATACACAGTCTGCTACTGGGTGTTTCTGTCTCTCTTAGTTTCCATTGTAGGGCTCCTGGGTGGCTATTGCCTATTTGGGGCACAGGCATAAATTTATTTATTTTATCTACAATAGCAGGGACAGCCATTTCAGGTGTAACTGGCAGATGACTCCTCAGCCTGTCAAGCTGCCGGCCTCCCTCCAGGTGAAGAGCCACATTGAAAAGTTGGGGACCATGCCTCAGAAAGTGTGAGCACCCATCTTACACGCTCCAGCTACTTCAGGGATTCTGCCTGCCTTGTTCTGTCTCGTCCCTTCTCCTCCTCTCCTGACTCCCTCCGTTTCTCTAGATTCTCCGTGCTACTGATGGGGTGAAGCAAAGGTTTTGGTTTTTGTTTCTTTTTGACGTTCCTTGAATCTTCCTCGTTTCTCTCCACTGGGACTTTCCAATTCATTGCTGGGCAGGTTCCATATCAGCCCAGTCTGATCTGACTTGTTCCATGTTCTGTGTCCCATACACACGTGTAGTTGCCCAGAGCAATGCCACATGTGAAAGATTGTCTTCGTATTATAACATTTGCCCTCGAGTTCTGTTTTCTCACCAAATCAGTCTTTGCTTTAAAATGTGGGTGATTTACTAGACCCACAGACCCTGCTCTTTGAAGGTCCCTCTGTGCTTCTTGAGATTCTGCTGTGAGGGAAAGGTTGGTTTTTCACTTCTGGACTGGGTGGGTACTCTCCCCGCTTCTGTGTCCTGGAGACACATAAGAAGCAGCATCCAGTACAGCAGCTTGGGAGGGAAGAGTGTGGGACTCAGGCTTCCTAGGTCTCTGACTGCTCTCCAGCTCCCTCCACAGGAAGTGTGGGCATCACAGTTCCGCCAAGCAGTCACACCTGTCACCTTCGCTTAAGGGTACATGGGATGGCAGTTGAATAAAAGCGGATTTGAATTGGGGCTAGTCATGTTCTTGCTTCCTCCCTCCCTGTCCCTCAAGGGACTCAGGCCGTAGAAACCTAAGAGTCAAGGCCCCTTCTCCTACTGTGCATCCACTTCCGCCTCTGTGTGTGCTTCACAAGCATAGCGACAGCGACAGCGCACATGTGGGGTAGAATCTGCCTCCTGCTCCCTGCTGGGAAGAACCGCAAAGTTCAACTTAAGAATCGCCTGTCTTCTTGAGCAGATTGCTGCTCTGCCCAGGGACCCTCAGATCAACATCTGATTGCTTAGTTCTGTTCTTATAGTCTTCCGGGATACCATCAACTTGGTGTGACTCAGACACTCTTCCAACCCAACAAAGAAAAAAAAAACAGTGATATAATTTCCCTAAAATGCTTGAGAGGCAATTCCAGTTCTTGTGTTTAAGAGAATTCCTTCCCAGAGGAGACAGAGGAGCAAATCCTCCGGGCTGGTAAGTCATCCGCATTCCTAGAATTGTAGATATCTTCTTAGGAAAGGCCTGGCGCCTTCCTCCTCAGGAACAAAGTCTCCACACTGTGTAGAACCAGTACCCCACTCCAGCAGGTAACATACTGTGTGTGTGTGTGTGTGTGTGTGTGCCAACTCGTTGCCTGAGAACTGTGGGCTGCTGCCATGGCAGGAACATCTTCATCTGGTTGTGCACCCCTCCTCCTTCAGGAAGTCCTTACCACCCCAGACATCTCTGTGGGGAGTGGTTTGTGGCAATCACTTGCTTCTCTGTCAGAATATGATGCTGTGGAAAACTGCCCAGGCATGTTTCGGCACCGTGGTCCTCTTCGCACATTCCCAGTTCTCAAAGCCATGAGCCCGTGGGAAACAAGAAAATCTTGAAGTCTGGAGGCGCCAAGCCACCATCTTTGGAATCATTCCCGCCTTCCCAAGGCCTTTCATATTTTCGCTTTTCTGGGCTTCTCCCTCCGTCTCACCTTGACCTTCTCCAGTCACATTCGGGCGACTAGAGTCAGAATTTGAGTATAAAAACACCTCATAGGTGTTGTAACAACATTCTCCTAGTTCATTGACTGCCAAGGCGCATCTCAGGAAAACAAAATGAAACCTGGAAAACCAAACTCACATTATGATTATGATTATGATTATGATTATGATTATGATTATGCTGATTTCAGTTAGAAATTCTCTTCATGAGACCCTGTGGGTAAGAGAATTTTAGTCTCAAGCTAAAGCCCTGTTTGTGTTACAGGGAGGGAAGAAGACTAGAAACGAGGTGAATAAATCAGAAGTGGGGAACGTGATCTGTCTGCCCATGGCAGACCTAATCCAGCACTGATACTGCTCTGTGCATTGAGCTCGCTCTGTTTGGGCCTCATTGTTCACCCAGGCTCCAAGTCGCCCTGTTCCCGAACAGTAACGGTCTATGTAACAGGTTGGCCCTTGGAGCATTCCTGGAAAGGTCAAAAGACAACACACTCAGCAGAATTCTGCAAAATGTATTTCTGTGTTTAGAAACCATGTATGACTGACTTATAGCCAGACCTGCTTGCCCTAAGAGCCTCAGAGGAGGCCTTGTGTAATGAAAAGCATTTGATTTCCTAGTCAAGTCTTTATGGGTGTCTTGGGGGTTGTGTGGCTACTTCCTTTAATGAAAGGCTCTTTCAACCCTAAATCTCTTTGCTCAGCGGCCTCTGCTCTTCGTCTTGCGGTGCCTCCCTAAAGAGTGTGAACTCCGAAGCATTTTTACTAGGTGGCAACTAAAGCTTTGTTCTTCTAACACCAAATGTCAGCAGCCAAAGATGTGCAAGGGGCCTGCTGGGGTTGTGTATCCCCAGTGGTTGTCCTTGTGGCAGAAAGGGAATGGGGACAATCGGGCTGGGCCAAATATGCAGCTGTCTAACCGGAACAAGCCGGAGAAGCCAGTGTCTCGGTTATTTTCCACAGTATTCAATTCTGGAGGATTTGGAGGGTTGGATTTTTTAAATTCCTAGCAGCTTACCTCCGTGGGGCTGTGTGGAGCCAGCTGTGTCTTTGCACCACACTTCTCTGGAAGTCCCTTTCTTGAGGGGAATGCTACCCATAGATGGATACTGATGAGCAAAAATGAGTCTTCAAGAACCGAATTTCACTCCAAACCTCGGCGGTTTGGCCGGGGATTTCAGTTTCCTAAGGCCACTAGTTTAGAGTCCCTTTGGGAAGGTTTCCGTTTCTAAAATTCCAGCTGTGCTTCTGCTCTCCCCTCCCTTGCCCCCTCCATCAGCCCATCTCCTGTATTTGCAAGGGAGCAAATGGCGGATGCTGTTGTGTGCACTGATTTGAAGGTGTCGCCCTTCCTTAAGTGAGCCAGGATCTCTGATGTTTTCAGAGTGTATATGTGGTGTGGTGATAATATTCTAATTTCAGTGAGTTGGTGCTTCTGGGCCAGCTGGAGAAGAAAGCAATGAAATTGTCTATGCAAGGAACAAACAGACTGGCCCGAAAGCCTGCGGATCTAGTAGTAGAGCGGCCATTAGCCACAGGACAGAATTTTGTGTTTGGAGCTCATAGTTGTGAGGGCCTGGAGACCGCAGCCCCCCTCGCTGAGCAAACTTTGGGTGCTATGGGGCAATGCAGCCAGTGTGTACGCTGGAGCTTTCAGAGGACACTGCATGAGCAGCCCGGCTTGCTCGCCTCTTCCCCCCATGGCCCTTGTCAGATGTGAACGCCATTGGGGGAATACTGCTCTTTCGAATTCACGGTGTTATCTGTGTAAATAGCTTTAAGTTTTCCTTCCTGTGTCTTAGGTGAAGTTGTGTTCTTGTAGCAATCAAGTAGGCAGTGACCAAATAAGGCTGTAAATGTCTTGTTTTTAACTGGGATGTGCTGAAGATGGAGAGCCTTTGTCCTCCACTGCCCGTCTCTCATTAGGTGAGTATTTTGTGTATGTTTACGGGGTTGCAAAGTTACTCCTTCATTCCTATTTTGCTTCTTAATATTCTTTGTTTCTTTGGAAACCCAGGAAGGCCCCTAGTAGGGATCATTTGTAGGAATATGTATGTCATGGTCTGGGTTTCCAAAACTACTCCACGTACAGTGAGTTGAGAGGAATCTGCCTGAAAACGGTTTCAGACCCATGTACCCTTCTCCTTTGTGATTGTGAAGCATTGCCTTTTGTAAGCCCCAAGTGAGAACTGTCTAAAGGGGATCTACTTTGTGCGTTTTGAAACCTAGGTGCAATGTCCCCTGGAAATAGTGCAAGAACTGTATATGCTCAATGACATTTTAAATAAAATACTATATATGTATATATAAATATGTATATAGGATATCTTTAGCAAAGTGTCTCTGACTCTTGTCTTTGAAGTCACTGTGCAGTCTCTTCTCGTCAGGTAATGGAGCGATATGAGACTATCATGGGTTAATGTGAGCGTGTCACATGTGAGCACAGACTCAAAATCTAAAGGAAAGAGTCACCATGTGTGATATGTCTAATATATATGTAAAGTCACACGAAGGATTTCAGAGGGAAAAATTAGTCCCAAGAATAATTTATCCAATTTAATATTCCGTACAATATATTTTAATCATACCCCAACTCCCAGATCCACTAATAGCCTCTACTCACACATATACCTTAGTCTTTTTTTCTAAATTTACATTTCCTTTTTAAAAAAAATATTTATTTACTTATTATGTATACACGGTTCTGCCTGCGTGTGTGCCTACACACCAGAAGAGGGCACCAGACCTCATTACAGATGGTTGGGAGCCATTACGTGGGTGCTGGGAATTGAACTCGGGGCCTCTGGAAGAGCAGTCAGCGCTCTTAACCTCTGAGCTACTCTAAGCTTTCGCTCCAGCCCTTTTCTGTTTTTAGAAGTTCACTTTGTGTTGCCCATGTAGTCCTGGGTGTGAGGCCATGCACTGGAGCATGGTTGCTAGATCGGCAGCCACTTGCTGGTTCTTCCCGCCTTCAGAAGCCCTCAGCGACCCATGCGACCTCTTTCCCCGTATGCTAGAATGTTGGCGACTTGCTCTTGTTCAAGCAGCCGCAGCGCTGTGAACTTTTGATCACAGACTTTTCTGCTCATGGCCGGAAGACACTGTTTCGCTACAACCCTCCCTTTACAAATGGTTCTCCCGATCTTTCTGCTCCCTCTTCTATATTGGTTCCTTGGGAAGGGGTTAGGATATAGATGTCTCGTTTGTGGCTGAGTGCCCAAGAGATCTTCTTAACCAAAGACAGTAAGAATTAACACCCCCCTCCCCAGTCATCAAAGCATCCTGAGTGCTCACAAGGCTTAAATTCAGGCACGGTGGTACATGTCTGTAATGCCTGCCCTCAGGAGGGAGGCAAGAGTTAAAGGTCATCCTCAGCTACATGGCAAGTTTAAGGCTAACCTGGGTTACATAAAACTCTATGTCTCTCTCAAAAAAAAAGTAAGCTATAAGCTGTGCCAACTTCAAAGTTCCCTTGCCAAGTAGAGTAAAACATCAAAGAATATTCTGTTTCATTTTCAAATCCAAGAAGTTGAAAGCAATCTAATCAATATTAATAAGCTGTTGATCTGTTGCGGATGCTTAACCGAGACCCCATCAGATGTCTGAAAAAGCTCGTAGTAGTGAACTTCGTGGACAATACATCCTTCCTTATGCAGATGTACACATTTGTGAAAGAGTTTGGTTTACAAATCACAGAGCTGGATGTGGTGGTTCCTTGCCCGAGCCTGATACTTAAGAGGCTACGACAGGACACAAGTTCTAGGCCAGTCTGAACTAGATAGCAAGACTCTGTCCTGCAAAAGGGGAAGGAAAGGGGTGGCTAGAGAGATGGGTCTGTGGGAAAACTGCTTGCCACGTGATCCTGGGGACCTGGATTCAGATTCTCGGAATTCGTATGAAAACATGCCCGTTAGCATGAGCATCTGCAATCGCAGCACTCGCAGAGAGAGATGAGAGGCCGAGGTGGGAGAATCCCAGAGCTTGTGGGCCAGACCCAGCAGAAAAACAACAAAGAGACCCTGTCCCAAAGCAGAAAGGGATGGTTGACTTTCCGGTCCTACATTGTGGCACATGTATGTCTATATTCACACACCCATGTCACAAGGACACATATACGCAAAAAAGACAGCAAAGTAACATATAACAATTATTTTTTTAAAAAAAAAACTAGTAAAAATTATGAATTGCCTAGTCCTGTAATTTTACATCTAATATTTTCAGGCCATAATTAATTTGCAGGTAACTGCAACTATGGAAGACGAAGCTGTGGATAAAGAGAGACTATTGTATTGATTCACAAAAGAGCATTGTTTTTGCCCTTTTGAGACGGGGACTAGTGGAGCCAAGGCTAGCCTTGAAGTTGCTATGTAACAGGATGAGAATTCTGGTCCTGCCATGCTGAGGTCACAGGTCTATACCACTACACCTGGCATGTGAGAGACAACGGGTTATATAGGTTTCACTCAGGAAGAACAGAATTGAATACAGCCACATAGATTCTTTTTTTAAAGACAAGATGTTACTGTAATCCTTGGCTGACCTGGAACTTGCTAAGTAGAGCAGGCTGGCCTTGAACTCACAGATATCTGCCCACCTCTGCAGACTAAAAGTGTGTGCCACGCCCTTGGATTTGACCCTCAGTGGTGCTGGAGGGGCAAAGAAGATGAAAGAGGCTTTGGGGGAAATACTCTTGTGAGTTAGGAAATAATCCTCCGTGTGGAAAAATGGAGGAGCCAGTGTATCACAGCCTTCTACGCTGCCCGAGATCCCAGCTGGAATACAGCAAGAATTCACCTTGAGTGTGAGTTTACGTCCCAGTTCCTGCTGCTGGACTGACCATTGGCAAGCCTGGGAAATGGTGACCACTATAATGCACTGAGCCCAGGAAGAGAAAACAGAGGGTACTTCCAGGTTATGACCAGGCATCTTATAACGTCTTCTTTACACCACTGGACTTTGCAAGTGGCTCCTTGGTTCCCTGGGTGCTTGATTTGTAATATTCGAACTCACAGAGATCCTCCAGCCTCTGCCTCCCGAGTACTGGGATTAAAGGCCACCACCGCTGCCCAGCTCATGTAATTTTTAAAAGATAATCATTATTCAAAATTCTCATTGTTTAAAAAATCTACGGAATACTTGAAATGTATTGTCATGTTCCTTCAGTTAAGTGACAAGCATGAGTCAGCTACAGATCCGAGGCGCTAGTTTGGCGTTTTGGTTGGGTTTTTGTGTGTGTGTGTGTGTTTGTTTTTTGTTTGTTTGTTTTTTCTGTTGTTAGTCTTGACAAGACAGCTGCCTTTTCAGTCTCCGAGCATTTTCAGTGTCTTGTCTTTGCTTCTGACAGATTTCTCAGCAGGTTGAACTCCTTTGCTTTACTGATTCCAGTCACACTACCTACAAGAGATGCAGAGTGTCACTGATGGGGATAGGATGTCCTTGACTGTCTTCCAGGGGCTGGGTCTGATCAGTTGCCTGGACCAAGGAGTCCAGAGACGAGGATTTGGGAGGTTGAGGGCAGACCCAGACAACAACACTTTCCTGAAAAGGGACATGAAAACAAACTTTTGCTTTGATCTTCAAGTTTCATGCTGGCAAATCTAGTCACTATGTAGTAAAAGAGGACAGACCCCTCTGGAAGGTGGGTTGGGAGAACCATTGGCCCGAGTGTGGGGGAAAAATCCACAGTCGTGAAACATTCCAAACCAAGTTACCACATGCCCTTTGCACACCCAGGAAAGCAGTGTGCTTAGTAACCAGGATTCTCTGATTTAAAGCACAGAATAGAAGAAGCTGCATTAATGGTCTTAGCAATTTCCTATCACTCATTACTTCCCAGTGTTCAGCCAGCAAGAAAAAGGAAGTGGGAGAAATTTTGGGAGAATTGTGAAATCTCCATTCATATTCCTGATTGGAAAAACAAAAATCAAACAAAAAAAACAAGTTTCCCATTCTTATGAATCTTATAAAGACGCCAGAGAACATTTAAACAATCTCCCAAGCATACAATAAAGGAAAATTTGGGTGGTGGTGGCACACACCTTTAACCACAGCACTCAGGAAGCAGAGGCAGGTGGATAAGTTTGAGTTCTTGGGCCTACAGAATGAGTTCCAGGACAGCCAGGGCTACACAGAGAAACCCAGTATTGGAAAAAAAAAAAAAAAGCTAACAGTATAGTTGGTACAACTATTTTCATTGGTATTGCATATTAAAATACAACATAGATAGACTCAAATATTTATGGAAGGAGCAATTCCACGGTTTCTCTGGGAACTACTCCGGGGCTTCTGAGAGGGTTGGATGGGTTTATAGGTAAAACAGGATTGGCCGTGCTGAAGAAAGTTACACAGACTGAAAGGAAATGCTGACTGCATGTTTTTCACGTCTTCTCTGGAATACCATCTGTCAGGCCCACCCAAGGGTTATTTAGTTATTAGGCTACGGGCTAGCAAACTTCTTCGGTAATGGGCCTATTAATTAATATTTTAGGATTTGGGGAGGCCATTTGGACTCTGTCGCAAATACTCAGGTCAGCTGTCATTCCTCAGAGGCTGTCAGGAAGTTCTGAACCAGGATGTGTTGGGGGATGGGTTATATAGACAAGCCTCCGACTTTGACAGAAAGAATTGATTTGTGAATCTCATCTGTGAAGTAAATGAACAAAGTCACGGATGGACATTCATGGCCTAATGCTGAGGAAAAGACAGATATATCCATAATCATTTATCTTGTTTTATTGAGTTATAAACAGAGTAACTTATAAATGTGCGAGTTTGCATTCCTAAGATTGTTCCAGAGTTATAAATTTACAATATTTCTTCAACACTAACACAACCTCAGCCATGTACTCCGCTGTCACTTCTGAAAGAACGTTTCTAACTTGGAGCAAGTGAGGTAACTCTTGGTTTGCCACCTTTCAGCTGTAAAGCAAAAAGAAGCCTGGACGTCCTTACTATTCATTTTGCCCTGTGCCATAAGCTTGATTTATGGATTTTTAAAATTTTTCTTCTTAGGTAAAAGTTCCTGCTTTCTACAAACGAATAATAACTATGTTCTCTTTCAGCCAAAGAACAGACTGCACATGATTTCAACCCTCTAATTGGGGGCTCTTCAATGGCCTGCTGTGTGGTCTGGTCCTGAAGAAGGCTCCCTGTATTATGGGATGGATACATAGTCTACTATTGCTGTGTAAAAGTCTTCTAGAAATTTCTTAGATTTGGCTCAGCGTATTGTTCAAGTTTTCTGCGTCTTTGTGAACTTTCTATCTGCTTGTTTTATCCACGACTGGAAGTGGGATGTTAAATTACTCTTCGATTATCTATTTCCCTTTAAAGATTTTTACCTGTAAGGTTTTGTTGGGTGTATTTTGGGGCTTAGGCTCTATTAAGTACACTTACATTTATAATTCTTATGTTCTCCTCATGGACTGATCTTTGTATCACCATAAAATGTCCTTTCTTTCCAGCAGCATGTTTTTGTCCGAAGGCTGTTTCATCCCATCTCTGCAGAAGCCACTCCGGCTTGTGTCTCCTTGTTCTTCACAGTACCTCTGTCCCCATTCTTTCGCGTCCAGCTTTGTTTGTATTTCTTATTCTAAGTATGCCTTGCAAATGAACTCTAATTCTATAGTTTTTTATTCATTATGCCAATTTCTGCCTTGAAAAAAAATGTTATGCTTATGTTTATGTGTTTTAGGTTTTGCCTGCATGTATGTATGTGCACCACATGTGTGTCTCTGCCCTCAGAGGTCAGAGGAGGGCATCACATGCCCTGGAACTGAAGTTATAGATGACTGTGAGCTTCCACATGAGTGGTGGAAGCCAAAGAGCAACAAGTGTGCATGACTGCCGAACCAACTCTCCATCCTAGTCTCTGACATTTGGTTGGAAAATTTAGCCCAAGTAAGTTTAATGTAATTACTGGTGAGATAGGATTTCCTGGAAGCTTTGGATGTGAGTTTGTTCTAGAGTGTCTACTTAGTGTACGGATCCTGGAGTCACCTCTCATATAAATGGGCTTATGTCCTTCATTTCAGTATTTGTTTTCTAGGTCCTTCTTGCTCCTTTATGTTTCTCTTACTGCCTTCTTGTTCATAAAACAATTTTTAATACTCGTTTAAATTCCTTGGTTTTTTTCTAGCTTGAATTATCCTCACAGTTGTTGCCTGGAGGGTGTTCCATTAACATCTTAACTTAAGCACTATAATTTTAATTACTAGAAACTTCATTTCAATAGTGTGAACATTTTTGCTCCAACATGTACTCCCATTCTTCTCCCTCCTTGTGTTATTGTCATACAAATTGCATATCTCTATAATTATATCAACAGTCGAATATTTCTGCAGTTACCACTTAAATTATGTGGAAGAATCCTTACTATTTGTGTCACTGGTATTTATTTCTTCATGGGGCTTTAGATTGATATCAAGTGTTCTTTCATTCAGCCTGAATCCTTTAATGATTCTTATAAAACCAATCTTACAAGAAAAGAATGCATCAGTTACTTGAGAATGTCATAATTTTTCTTCCTTGAGGGTAATCTAGGTTTGTCTTGAACTTGTGATCTCACTGCCTCAGCCTCTTCCATGCCCAGCTTCTCTTTCATTTTTGAAAGCGTTTTGCTAAATGTGCAATTATTGGTCAACAGTTCTTTTTCCCTTGCAGCATTTTTAATATGTCATCTCTTTACTTCGTCTCCATGATGGCTGATGTTTGCTGTTAGCCTTACGGAGAGTGTCTTCTGTATGCTAAGTCACTCTTCTCTAGGTGCTTTGATAATCTTGAGTAGGTGTGGGTCCCTCTCATGTACCCTGCATAGAATTCACTGAGTTTCTTGGATGCGTGAAGTTTTCCATCACATCTGGGACACACATTCAATGCTGTAGTGAGCAGCATTCGGTTGTAGCTCAGCCTTCTTTCCATGGTCACGTGGAGCCTGGAGAGCAGCCTGAGATGTACTGTTGAACCTTCTCGGGGTTTAGCTGGGAGCACACATTGCCTGGTACCTTCTTGAGAGCATTTAAACCTCCAGTAACATGTTGGTGCTTTTTCAAAGCCCTGGGTAAATATCTCATTTACAGATTTTTTCTTTCTCAGGGTTTTGTTTTATTTTTATCAGACTCTTTTTATTCTCAACTATGACTTTTCTCAGGTAGCTATAATGTTAAACAGCCATTGCTGATTATTTTTGAGTAGTGCCCTACTATCAGAGCTGTGTGCACAAAGATCAAGTAAAACACAAAGCCCAAGGAACAGGACTGTCCCGGAGTCTGCCTGACAGTCCAATTGGTAACACTTCTCTAGGCAAAGAACTCTGTGGAGAGCTCCTGAGCTATTCCGCCTCTCCGGTGGCTTAGTCATCTGCTGATCTTCAGAGCAAGCATGGCTATGAGACTGCTGGTGTTCAAGGCTGACACCAATCTGGAGAAGAGAGTAAAGAAGCTGTCAAGGTCAAAATGCCATCAACCTCCTTCCTGCTGAGATTCAGTCATTGTTCCTAGACACACATCCCCAGCATGGCTGCAAGCCTTTGATTTTATTTCCAGATGCTGAGGAAGTTCGTCTTTGCCTACTTTGGCCACTATTCTCTCTGCTTAAGTGAAAGAATGAATTTTCAGAGGTCTGTGCTACCATTCTGTGAGCACCACTCCAAGTGAGAAAACAGAAAGATCCTGCCAGAATAGCTTAGTTGGTAGTGTATTTGCCTAACAGACATGAGACCCTGGGTTAAATCCCCAGACCACATAAACAGGGTTGCACGAGGAAAGCAGCAGAATGTAATGGGCCATCCTAGGAGGAGCCTGGAAGACAATAGAGCTGAGAGTAGAGGTTCCAGACTATCGAGGCTCAGCTCCGAAGGTTATTAGCAACTCGGCCAAGAGGCCATTCTTGTGATCATTTGGCAAAGGGTGTGGCTGCTTTCTACCCTTGCCCTATGAATTTGCCTGAGGCTAAACTTAAAAAGTCAATGGACTAATTTCTTTGGCAGAGGAGATCTCAAGACAGCCTAATATTGTCTCTGTCTTGTGGCTGTTAGTAGTCAGTCACATATAGTATGTATTTCTGCAATGAGAAAAGAGCAAATCGGGGAGGAAAAAATATGAACTGTACCATGTGAAGGGGAAAGAGCACCAGGGAGTTCCATGCTGGAGCCGAGGCTTGTGATAAAAGAGACAGGAGATTGATTAGGTAGAGGGCTGGTCCTCTCTAGAATAAGTTCACAACTTGTGCTTCTCAAAAGCAACAGCGAATCAAAGATGCTACAAACGTGATTCAAGGATGCCAGGATTCAGCCCAGCTGGTAGCCCAGCTTGGCAGTGCAGTCAGTCCACATGGTACTGGCATTCGCCAAAAGCACTCTGAAGTTTAGACTTCAAAGTTTAGAGTCATACAGGATACAGGGGTAAATGGGTTGTGGACTCTTCCTCTCTGGCTTTGAGAGCCACTGAGGCTGGGAGGATAGAGACCATGACCCCAAGATGTTAGAGGTGCCAGAGTCATGGAATATCTGCCAAGGAGCGCTGCACACAGAGGGTGGAGCCAGCCTTAAAGAGAAGTATGCTGAAGGCAGAAAAGCCAGAAGCTCAAGCCGTCCAAGCCCTAGGACGTTGGGCATGATGCTACGGGATCTGAAGTTTGCCCTGCTGGGTCTCTGTCTTGCTTTGGTTCAGTTTTTCCTCCCTTTGCCCTCATTCCTCCATTCTGGAATGGCAATGAATATTCTGTGTGCCACTGTACGTTAGAAGGATGGGCTTTGCTTTTTGAATTTATAGGAAGTTATGTTTCAGAGATTGCCTGAGTCTCAGAAGAGACTTTGAACCTTTAAATGGTTGACTGAGACCCTGAAAGACTACAGGGACTTTTGAAGTTTGACTGAAAGCATTTCGATTCAGCTCCAAGCCTGTGGGATCCAGGGAGTGTAAAGTGGGGGCTGGAATAAGAATGGTTCCCATAGGCTCATGTTATTCGGAAGCTGGTTCCCAGTTGGTGTCTCTGTTATTAGAAATGAATTTCCTTCTCTCTCTGGGGAGGCTGGCATATATATTCATAATGTGTTGTCCAGGCTGGCCTCAAACTCCTGACCTCGAGTGATTCCCCTACCTCACAAGTAGCGGGAACCACAGGCATGACCTGCCTGTGTATTGGGTTTCCCTATAGAAGACTCTTGAGAATCCGTCAGACCCCTACGCCAGCATCCCTGTCCCACATGCCAGAAAGATGAGTGCCAGGTTCAGCTCCGAGGCTTTGGCCTGAGCAGAATGAATGTGTGTAAACCCCAGAGGTCTTACCTACCGTGCCTTTACCGTCTATGAATATTTCAGCAGACACTGAGGAACAGGTAAGGTTTAGCTGATCGACGGCTAAAAGGGGCAAATCTTCGAAGCTGAAAAGACTGAATGAAGTCATGTTTAACTCCTCTTGAAGTAGAAGTGTGCTTAAAAAAACCTCCACAGTCTCGAGCACTGGACTGTAAGAAAAGGAATTGCAGCAGGTAAATCTTTCCCCAGGATGCCCAGCCGCACTCGTTAGCTCCCAACCTGAAGGGTCAGAGCGGGGGGTCAGCTGGCACAGTGGTGTCAGTGATACAGCTTTATGGGCTCAGTTGACCCGAATAAGATGACCATTTCACACACTGGCAGCTATTTCTTCATGATCTCCTTGACCTCTGGCCTCTGGGCTCAGAAGTTGATACTTCTGATAAGTTGATACTTCTCCGAGCAGAACAAAACTTACAAGTGCTTCAACTTAAAGGAGCCCCAATCCAATGACCTGATAGCCAACATTCAGTTAATAACAGTTAATCCCCATCCCTCCATATGGTGGTTGGTCCTAGCCCCCGGCTGTGCAGTAAAATCACCCGTGAGCTTTTTAAAAAGATCGTGTTGAGGCTGGGGCTGTAGTTCAGTTAGTAGAATGTGCCAAGCATGCACAAAGTGTGGGTTCCGTTCCCAGCACTTCCTCAACTGGGTGTTGTTGGGAGCTGCAGACTCCTGGCCCCCTGACTTTCTTTGCCTGCCTCAGACCCCTTGCCTGCTGGAGTGAACTGAGCAAAACCCCTGTGCCTGCAGCTGCTCTGAGCACGAGACCCTGATGGCATCTCCTGATGCAGCTGAATGATCCCGAGAGCTGGGGCATGGCTATCAGTTAAGGGTCCCTACAAGCTTCCCTGGGGCACAATAAAGTTGGCATTCTTGTATCAAGGATGACCCGTTTCCCCGTGTCTCTGTCTGTCTGTGTGCATGTGTTTTTAAGTCTCCAGCCTAGTTCCTGGCTCACGTAATGTCCTATAGTGGCATGGGTGCTACAGGTGCCATGGTGGCTGCCTGTAATCCCAGATCTCCTAGGCCAAGGGGATCAACAACTCAAGATAGCCCTGGGTACAATACAGTGTGAGGCCACCCTTGACTATGTGAGGATGTTTTTAAAAAACAAACACATGAACGAACAAGTAAATAAACAAACAGGTCCTCTGGCTGGGTCATAGTATGGAAGGGTCCACCTAACACTACGTTGAGATTGTTCTCCCGCCACTGTAACATAAGGCACACTGGGAAAAAACAGGAAGGACAAGACTCCAAATTTATCAGACAAAATAAAGGGGATTTGGATTCCTGTTGAATTTGAATGACAGATAAAGTATTTTTGGTACATACTTTTGGCATAAACCCATACTAAGAATCTATCTAAAATTGAAGTGTGAAGGGTTTCATGTATTTTATTTGGAAATGTCAAAGGACAAAACTGAAGATGAAATCGAGTCCGTGTGGCGAGTTCTTGTCTCCCAAATCAAGACCATCTAGAACAAAACAAAAAGAGACCCTGCATCAAGCCGGTGCCACTCAAGGGTGCCATCTTAGCTGTGGAAGAGGAAGGAGAGCAACACGGTGCTCAGAGGCCTACGCTAGCTCTCCGGGGCCACCAGAGGTACCACATTCTGAAGTCCCCAACAGCAGAAGCTAACTCTCCACACTTCTAAGAAGAGTCAAGGTCAACAGCGAGTTTGGCTCTGGCCTCTATTAGGCTTCTCTCTCTCTCTCTCTCTCTCTCTCTCTCTCTCTCTCTCTCTCTCTC